CTCTTTTTAAAAAACATAAACTCTTCAGTACTCAGGAGGTTTTTATGATGCCATGTAGAAAGGGACCAGTTGCATGAGTAATTGCAATTGGATCTCGAATTCCTTTTGTGCCTTCACACCCCCAAAAATAAAAACCTCAATAAATTTAGGATGTAGCTCTCGCTCTTCAAAGGAACTGTGCATAGAAAAGCCAATTCTTTGCTCTTTGCACACCTTTAATATTTTTCTTCCTTCAATTGGCAGCAGTCCACCCTTGCATGGTTTTGCAGGGACTGGCTTTTCCCTTTTTGAAACAGACATTTGGGTAGTAGTTTAATCCCTCAGGATGCTCACGCTAACATAGTCAAAAATAAAAAATTGTTGGATTAAAACTTGTATAATCTGATGACTCAGAACCATCCTTGTCCTTTAAATCCAACCTTCCTACAGAGAAATCAGTTCTTTCCCTTTGACTCCTGAGAACGGGTTGGTATTACTTAGTTTCAAAATTAGTAAATGTGAGATTCAATCATATAAACTCAGGATTTTATTCCATTTGTGGGAAATGGCCTTATAAACTCCCTTCCACAAAAAATGTAAGCCTAAGGAACTTCTGAGAGTAGTTCAATACCCCTGGTAAGATCATTGCATGGAATAAGGCACACATTTAAAGTTGAATTTTTTTGAGTATTAAAAATTACTAGGGATTGTGTGCTTAGGTGATATAAGTCTAGCAATAAGAGGTCCAGATTTCTGAGTTATATTATGGTTTTGCCTTGTCAATTTGAGGTCCTAATAGATATCATCATTCTCTCTGTATTTTACTTCTCCTCTGACTAAACTAGTGACAAAATTTTCTGTCCTTTGGAATAGGAGCTGAAACACATTTTCCTGGGAGTGTTTCTTATTTTGCTTTAAGTTCCAGCTCAAGCATCACCTTTGCTTTGAAGCCTTTATTTCTCTAGGCAGTTAGGGGGCATCATAATACTTTGCTCATGCCTGTATTATCTGACATCACATTGTAGTGTAGTTATTTGACTATTTCTCCTGCTGTTTTGTGAGCTTCTTGATGGGTGGGAATCATATTTTACTCATGAAGCCTCCATTATCCCGTACAGTGAATGCTCACATAGAGTAGACACTAAAGTACTGTTGGAAGGGTCAATGGGTGAACGGGTGGATGGATGGAGACAGCTGGTTTAATTATATCCTACTTAACACATTGCATAGCCATTGGCTCCAATGGGTGACTGCTCAAGACTAGCAATTGGAACAATGCAAATTATCGTCTGCGCTTTGGGGATTCAGTAAGGACATCTTTTCATTTAAATACAGAAGATGTTAATCAGATTTTATACTTAACTGTTTACTTGATGTGGATGGTATGAGGATGGTGTGTGACAATATGTAAAATGTATGTTTTTGAAAATAACTTTTATCCCCATAACTTTTGAAGGTTGTTTGCTGTTAATACTAGCTGGGTCTCAGACTTGCCCCTTCCTCCTCAGTGATCTAAAGACTACACTTTTTTTTAAAGGAAAGTATAATTTTGTTTCTTTGAATGAAATGGGATAGTTGGATAACACAAGTTATGCTTTTCCTTTCTTTATTCGGTGAGTGTCACTTGTGTGATGTTGTCAGTGGCCCACCTTATACCACTGTTAGGTAAGGTTCTCCTAGTCACTAAGAACAGAAACTGCCCCTAGCTAGATTAAGCAAGAGAACTTATTAGAAGGTTATGAAGGCATGTTGAAGAACCTAAATGAGTTTCTTAGCAGTTGGAAGGGTAGACAGCAAGGCAACCCGAGGAATCTCAGCAAGAGCTGTGAATGATAGAACGCCACTGTGTGTAGTTCCAGACTCTGCCAGACTGTGTCTCTCAGCCTAATATTCCCAAGAGAAGACAAAATTAATGGGCTCCTTTGGGTCATCTCCAAAGTAGATAGTTTTCTATCCTTTATCCTTCACCCCTATATTGACAATGAACAGGAATACACAGATACATAAAAAATCATCTTCCCATACATCTAAAGTGAAGATGGCTTTCACTTAAGATAATCCTACTGCATCTAGTGGTAAGGTATGAGTGAGGCAAAGGGGTAAAATTACAGTTCTCTTAATATTCATCAAATACTTTTTGAGCATCTACTATGCACAAACAGTGGGAGATGAGGTGTTTACAACAGACTATCATGAAGGAGCTGTGTAGTTGAGATGGTAATACTAGAGGCATTCATAAGCAGGTGATTAAAATGACATGAAATTAATTATAAGGCCAGCTATTTACAAAGACACTGGATTTTGAGTTTAGAGGAAGAAGCAATTTTCATCTCGTGCAGATGGGAAACTTCATGGAGGTAAAAAATGATTTATGTTTTGAGGGATGGGTAAATGGAGTGGTTCTTGGGAGTTCTCAAAATTCATTCTATCTATGGAAACAGTCTGTAAACATGTAATATAATGAATTAATGTGACAAGGGCATTGGTGGTGACAGGGAAATTTTTGACCCCTGGAAGAAAATTCATGATGTCAGAAGACGCTATTGAGTCTATGAGCAGAACTCAGCAACGATGGCTGAGGGGAGGAGAATGGTGGTTCCAGGCATAATGTGACTGTACTGAAATCCTTCCCTGATTCCTTCATTTGGGTGGCAAAGGCACATAGTGGGAGAAGAGAGCTGCATGTTTGTGAAACAGAGTGGCCCAAGTAAACCTCATAACAGTTTTTTATTATTGCTCTGAGACCCTTCAAAAAGCAGACTACAGAATAGAGAGGGTGTTTCTTTAGTGATAAAAGAAGGGAAGACCCAGGGTCTTGGAGAAGTGGGAATGTGGGAATGTGACAGAGCCTTAGGAGATGTGATAAAACAACAGTGAGCAGTGGCCAAGGGTCTAGGATATTGAGGTACTGTCTGGGAAAGGAAAACTTAAAACTGAAGCTCCAGTTATGCAGAGGAAAAGGTAGCTATGGAGTTAGTGAAATTTGTCTGTTAATTTGACCTCCTTTGTGTCTACAAGGTAGTGAGTCCTGGAGACATTTGATTTGTGTATAAATTATTTCATTAGTATCTACCCAACACACCTGCCTCACAATTCCAAGTCCTCCCTCATCTCAGGATGATTCTTGGATCATCTTAAGCATTAGGTTTTTCCACATATAGACTAGAAAAAGTGCATAGCCATTTTCTTGTGACTTTATCCTGATACCCTCCTGAGCCTATATGCCATAAGCAGTCACCTGGAGGCAGAGCCAGGAGTCAGAAGATCTGAATTCTTTGTTCAACAGTGTATGTGCCAAACATTGTGCTAGGTCCTGGACATGAAGATGAATATACATGGTCTCTGAGCTCAAAGCTGCTCTACTAACAGTGAATAGGAAATTGTGATGCAATGTAGTAAGTAAGGGAGATGAACCTAATCCTGTCTCCCAGACACCAGAGAAATCTTTCTCATACTGTCAGTAATTCAGCTAGTCTAATCAGTTCTCTGGCCTTATCTATAAAATTCCAGCTGGTGTGAGCAACAGAGCATTCCCAAAAGTTGTCACACACATTTGTTTTTCCACAGTGGTGCCAGCTTCATTTGGGGAGACCTCCCAAAAAAACCATTAAAGTTACACACAGGTTACATGCAGAAAGGGGAAGCTTTTGTGATAGAGCAAGCAGAGCAAGCATCAGGTGCAAAGTCCTGTTCACTGGTGGGTCTGTGGATGGAGAGGCAGGCATAGATCTCAGGCCAGGTGGCTACAGTGGTGGCATCTAGTGGAGCGAAAGCCCTATTGGGTTCCAAGTGTGATTCCTAGTAAAGCCAAGCTCAAGCATCAAACGGTGGAAGCTCTGCTCTGGCTGGGTGGTTCAGTTGGTTGGAGCATCATCCCATACACCAAAAAGACTGCAGTTTTTCAATCCCTGATCAGGGTGCATATGGGAGGCAACCCATTGATGTTTCTCTCTCTCCCTTTGCTCTCTCTAAAATCAGTAAACATACTCAGGTGAGGATTTAAAAACAAGTATTGGAAGCTCTGAATTTTTATAGCCCACAACAGGTAGTGTCCCACTCATATCAGTGTCCAGGTGCAGTCCTTACCTTAGTGTTCGGACATGTGGTTTTGGTAGTTAAGGACCATTGTAAGGGTGTTCTGTCACACCCCATTACCTCAGTTATGAGCATCATGCCACTTGACATAACTGCCATGGCTGACAGTGATTCCATATTGGATTCTTGAAAAACATCCCAAGTCCGCTCTGCTCTTGCTCTATATACCAGCTTTCAAATTCCAGAATTCTATTTACTAAAGAGTGTTTAAGTTTTGAATTACATCTATAAAGGAATAAAGGAGGGGTAGGGATTAGCAAATATAAGAAAATGTTTGGTTGTTAGCAAGAATTTGAGGTACACAAACCAGCCTGAGACTTTTAAATACGTGCGTTTTAATAAAAGCTACACTTCGAAGCTTGTTAGCAGAGGCTGCACTGATGGGATATTATTGCTGGACTATTAAAGACGCGCCTGCTATAAATTCCAGAAACTGTCCTGGCATTTTGAGAAACAGTAGGAATTGGGGGGTGGAGGGGGAGGCGTAAAATCCAACTTGTAAGAAACTGCCCAAAACTGATTATTCAAAGTAGTGTTCTGGAAATCTCAGCGTATTTGGAACCAAGACCCCTCTTTAATGCCTCGGTTCTTTCTAGAAACCAAAACTTGAACGTTTGAATACGAACTGAACCGCCCAGGAGTCTCCTCGTGCCGTCATACAGTGGGTTGGGCTTGTATTTGCACAAAACTGTCCACATTCCACTTACATTGAATACTGCACTCTCTTACTCATTTCTGTGGGATTTCTGGCATTTTAAATACCCTAAACTACCTAAGCGTATGACCGCACTTACTCCAGGAACCAGACGGAGACCCAACGTGGCCCTGGAAGCCCAAAGAGGCGGGGCCAGAGGCCGAGCCAAAAAGCGCTGAGCTGGGTCAGTACCGCCTCCAACCGGAAGTGTTTTCCGTTCCGTCTTCGCCGTCGCCCCGCCCCTTGGCCTTTGCTCTGGTGAGGCGGGACTTCCTGTCTCCTCTGTCCAAGAGCCTTCAAGTGAGGCGGCGTGTAGAGTGTTTGAGTGTCAAGACCTGTGGCAGTAGATAAGTTCGTACCTAGTGCACGGGTATTCATCCACTTGTTCTTGTAGTTATTCTTGCTGTTCTCCCACGGCGTCTCCGAGAGGCCTTGGAGCCCCGAGAACCCAAGCTTGTGTCTGTCCGCAGGTTCGGAGAGGGCCATGGAGGTGCGACCTCCAGCACCACGGAGCTTCCTCTACAGGGCACTGGGTCCTTTCCCCCGGGTCTTTGCTGCAGAAGCTGTGGCTGCTAATTCTGTGGCCGCCGATTCGGAAGTCCTTGTGGAGGACCAGAAGCTTCTTTCCTACGTCTCGGAACCTCGTTATCCGGAGTCCGGATGGGACCGCCTCCGAGAGCTGTTTGTTAAAGAGTAAAAGTGCCTGGGGCCTGTGGGGAGGGACTGCGAAGGAAGTACCCTGAAACCTGGGTCACCCTGAAGCAAAGGACCACAAGGTGTTTGGGTTTATTTTTAAATGGGATCTGGGCTTCTAACATTTGTGCCCCTACCTTGCATCCTGTCATTCCCTGTGATAATTGTGTTAATGGCAGGACGCCATTTAGATGATAAGGGTGCGACTCATGAATGAGAGCTTTTAGGGTTATTTAGGGAATATAGTCTTAGTGTAATACTCTGACTTTACAGATTAGAAGAATTGGACTGAATTAATTAGTGTCAGAATTGACTGTGGAAGAAACATTTGCAGGATCCTATTCCAGTTTTCCTTTTCGGATTTCACTTGATCCCAGACTTCTATATTTAGTGACCAGCAGCCCCTCTACCCTCCAAAAAACTGGAAGTTGGAGAGATGGGCAGAGGGCTGTAAAATTCTTTTTCTTCCAAATAAGGAATATATAAAAATAGCACCTATTGTCTCATCATTTTATAAAAGATATTGGCTGGGTAACAAATGAGGATACTTAAGAATAAAAGATCATCCTTTGAATTGAATTAACTTTAATGAAAAACTGAGGCTATTTCATCCACTCTTTGAATAATTTTATCTATCCATTACTGGTGAAAAGTTTGCCCTTTTATCAAGTACTTGACCATACTATACCGTGTTATAAAATGGATAAATTAATGTTGAAGATTTATTATGTTGCTGAGGGGCATATAGTTGGGGCAAGGGAGTTGGCAGAATTATATTTATTTAGATTTCATCATCATTTTAAAAATGAGTTAGCCTTTCTCATTGGTCCTTCCAATATTTGGTTGAGATTCTTGTGAAAGATCCTATGTAGTATATAATGGGAGGGGGTTATTTTGATAAACTTTATAAACCAGAGAATGTTAGAGCTGAAAGAAATATGAAAGACAATCTAATATAACTTCCACACTCCCTTCCATCATAAATGAGAAAAGCAAGATTCATAGAGATTGTGATCTGGCTGCAGGTCACTTAGCAGTGGGTGACCGAACCACAACTCCATTGTTACTACTTGGAATCTAGGCCCTTCCAATCACTGTGCCCCGTTTGTTTTTCACTATTCACCGCTATTCATTAGCAGTTTTGGCCAACCATATAATTTCTTAGAGCCTCTATTTCCATATTGGTAAAATGTAGAGAAATATCACCTATGTCATGGAATTTTTCAGAAGCTGAAAAAGTACAAAGTATATACTGCTGCTTTTTAAATCTTAAGCTGTTTTACATTTTTTTCTTTTCTGAATTCTACCATAGGTCATTTTTTTAATGTAAATGTTATTGATCTTATTCACTATAAAGGATAAAATATAAAGTTCAAATTATAGTTTTGCCTATTGACATAGTATAAGAATGACAGTTTTCTAACAGATTTAGATTTCTCTCATAGATCCAGAAACTAAAGGTTGTGATTCTGATATCAGAAATATGGTTATTGGCAATTAGACAAACACTTGTATAGTCGCTGAAGAAGCAAGTAAGTAATGTAAACAATTAATATTTAATAGTTTACTTACCTGGTAGGATCATTATTTATAGTAGCTTAATACTTAACAAATGTAGCTATTCGTTAGAGCAATTTCTGGAGCACATCTTGAATAGGTATCTGGAGGACATCTTAGTAATTCTAGAGGTATGCTATTGAGAGTAATAAGTTGAATTAAAACATTTTTCTTTGTTATTTAGGTTGTCTGTGCTGTCTGCTGCATCATGAGTTTTCTCATTCAGTGTCCACCTGAGCATGACATAACAGTTGAAGTATTCAGAAGTATTCAAAAAGATAGGGTCTTTTTTTTTTTTACAGCTAAGATTTCATTCTTGCATACATTGTCCTAAAATTCCAGAAGTGTGTAATTTCCAAAAGTTAGCTTAAAATTCAAAAAGGAAAATCGTGATCTCTATGCCCAACTAAATTTCTTCCTATTTCCAGAGGCTATAGTAGAGTCATTAAATGAAAGTGCCTTTAAAAACAAAACAAAACAAAACAAAACAAAAAAACCTTTTTGTTGAGGTGTAATATGCATCTAGAAAAATGTGTAAGTGTACTGATCAATGGGTTTTCAGAAACCCAATACCAAGAGACTGTTACCAGCATACCTAAAGCTCTCTTTGTGTGCCTTCCCAAGAGTAACTAACCATTAAACTAATTTCTAACAGCATAGATTAGTTTGGGCTGAAATTTGAGTTACTTGTAATTGCATTATTTAATTCATCAGAAAATTTAATTGGTTCAGCCCATACTGAAGAATGTGGTTGTATTAGCATTTGGGGTAATTCTTCCATTCTGTTTTTTGGAGAGCAGTATACATATACTAATTCCAAACAACATTGTGTTTTTGGTGTTTTAGTGAACAGCAGAGAACGTCAAAAGAACTTGAGAATATTTATAGGGCAGCAGCTTCAGCAGGCATCATTGGCTGGGCATATGGGGGAATACCAGCTTTTATTCATGCTAAACAGCGCTACGTTGAACAGAGCCAAGCAGAAATTTATCATAACCGGTTTGATGCTGTGGTACGTACTGGTGTTCTAAAACTACTTTAAGGGCTCGCCGATTAGCAGTTCACTTTACACTTAATCATTCAGTTAAGTGGTAGGTTGGGAGGGTTTAGGATGTCAAGAGTAAAGAAACAGTCTATCTTTACTAACAATGGAAGTATTAATGCTAAACTATGTATACATGGCCTGTCAGACCACTTATTTTTAGAAGAGATTACTATAGCTCTGTCTTCTGGAAAATATTTCTAATCTGCTAAATTATCAAGACTCAACTGTGGCATATTTACCCTATTCACAAAGCCACTGTGGAGTACACTAGCTCACACTAAAACAATAATTAACATTTATCAGTTTAGAGCAAGGATGTCAAATTCATTTTCACCAGTGGCCATATCAGTCTCGCAGTTGCCTCCAAAGGACCGAATGTAATTTTAGGCCTGTATACATGTAACTACTTCTTAACAGTTAAGGGAGAGCTCGGCGCTGCCACTGTGTAGAAACAAGGTGCTGGGTGGGATAAAACAAGGTGGAGGACTGGATTTGACCCACAGGTCTTGTGTTTGCCATCTGTGCTTTAGAGTTTTAGAGTGCTAATTCATTTGTTAGGTTTGTGCATCAGTTCTGTTGTACTAGTGAGGAAGTTACAGCTCAGAGTTTTTGTTTTTTATTTTAAAATTATGTCAAGAGTTAAAAGTTTCAAAAGTATAAGGGATTGCTATCTACCTTTCACCCAGATTATCCAAATGTTAACATTTTACCACATTTGCTTTATCATTTTTTCTGTGTATAATGCCTACTGTTATTTTTTTGTGTGAACTACTTGAGGTTAAGTTATAGACGTGATGAATACTTCAGCATTGTTTCTTGAAAGGAGAGACATTTTCTTATATAATTATACAGATCAGGAAATTACACTGTTAGAGTGTATATTATCTACAGACTTTATGTAAATTTTGCTAGTAGTTCCACTAATATAGTCTGTTTGAAAAGCAACTAAATGAAAATATTTTCTGGTCCAGAATCTGATACTGAATCAAATACTGAATTTGCCTGTCATGTCTTTCTAGTCCCCTTTAATCCAGAAAGTTCCCTGTCTTTCTTTGACTTTCTTGACCTTGACATTTTTGAAGATTATTGGCCATTTATTTTGTAGAATTTCCCTTAATTTGGATTTGTTTGATTTTTTAAAAATGTGGTTAGTTTCTGGCTATGTGTTTTAGCAGGAATATCCTAGAATTGATATGTCCTCAGTATATTATATCAGCAGTCCATGATACCTGTTTTTCACTACACTTATGGTGTTTACTTTAGTCACTTGTTTAATATGGTCACTGCAAGGTTTTTCCACCATAAAGTTACTATTTTTCCCATGTCAGCAATTTTCAAGGTGTGCCATAGCACACTGATATGCTGCAAGAATTTTTAGAGCATGCAATACCTGACTGTGTAGTCAGGGGCACTGATCTCTTTTCCCTTAGACTGTCAAATAAAAAACACAACAACAGCCAATACAACAATTGCTGTCCGGTATGAACACATCAAAATTATACCTTTTGTTTTTTGTCAGATTGGCAAAAAAGATATTTTTTGGTGTGCCACAGAATTTTAGATTTAGTTTTTATGTGCCATGAAATGAAAAAGTTGAAAATTGCTGCTCTAATGTTACCTTATGGATACTTATTAGACTATGCAAATATCCTATTTTTCATCAAATGTCTACCTTGTAGTTTTAGCATTCAATAATGCTTCTTGTGTGAAAACAGTTATCACTGTGGTGTTTGCCAAATGGCCATTTGCCAATTCTGTTACTCCGTCTGCATTTATTGGTTAGTATTCTGCTATCAGAAAGAGCTTTTACTTTTCCTCTGTTTATTTATCTATCTATTTAATTTATTTAGTGTGGACTCATGGTTTCTTATTTTATTCTGTATGTTTATAAATCCATTATTATTATTATCATTTATTTTGATACTCAAATTGGCTTAGATATGGACATTTGGAGCCCTTCAAGCTAGGTCCTTTTGATACTTCCTCATCATTTTTTGAGCATACCTTTACTTTTTGGCATAGCAAGGTAATCCTAGCTCATCCTTTACTTTTCAAGATAGAATCGAACTCCAGTTTCTTTTGGTGGAAAATGGTATTTAAAAACCAAGATCTGATGCTAGGTATGGTCATTGCTACTGGGGTGTCAGGGCTTCTAGGCCCTAGGCAGACAGAGTTAGGAAGTGTGTGTGCATGCACATGATTTATATTCATATGCATATTCCTACATCTCTTATCTATTTGTGTATCTACCTTCTTATTAAAAGCCATGAGTTCATACTGACACCTTTCAGAGTGGTTTTCACTTGCCCAATACTATATAGTAGTTTAGAATCCAGTTAGGGATTCTCTCAGATTCTTTAAAAACCCAGAGTTTATCCCCACAGTATTATACTGGACGTCCTTTTATGGTAGTCTAGTGGCAATGGGCTGTGGAGACACACAACCTACCTTCCATTTCTGACTTTATTCCTTATTAGCTAAGTGATCTTGGTTAGAAACTTCCTCTCCATGCTATAGTTAAAACTAAAACACCTATCTCCTGGCTGGCGTAGCTCAGTGGATTGAGTGCGGGTTGCGAACCAAAGTGTCGCAGGTTTGATTCCCAGTCAGGGCACATGCCTGGGTTGCAGGCCATGGCCCCCAGCAGCCGCACATTGATGTTTTTCTCTCTCTCTCTTTCTCCTTCCCTTCCCTCTCTAAAAATAAATAAATAAAATCTTTAAAAACAAACAAAAAAACCCACTAAAACACCTGCCTGAAAGAAATGTAAAGATTAAATGGGATAGAATGTTAACACACCTTTTACCTAGAACGTGGTCAGTAAATAATGACTTTTTTTCTTCCTCTGCTCCTCTTTTACACATCTGTATTACTTTAATCCTTACCTTTTAATTTTCCATTTACTGAGTTCTTTATTTTATGTTTTTCTTTTCCTCAAGATTTCTTGGTGGGGGGAAAAGCATCATGTCTAATACTGATTTTATAGCTGGCATGGTATTTGCCATCCCAGTGATGTTTAATTGATGAATTACTTGGTTGCCACTGGCAATTCTTAGTTTCTTTTCTATCTCTTGATAGACTAGGATGCACATGGGACTTTTGCTTAAGCTTCAGTACTTAAGGAATTATATTTCTGGAGATTTTCTGTTGTTTCTATCTGTTTAGGTCTCCCTGCCTAGCCCATAGCTGACATCCCTCCACCACAGTTTTAGAATAAGGAAAGTATCAAGGTACCTTGGAACCTCACAGCCTTTTTGTTAACTTTAGCAATCGGCGCATCGTGCTGCCATGCGAGGCTTCATCCGGTATGGCTGGCGCTGGAGTTGGAGAACAACAGTGTTTGTGACTATATTCAAGTAAGTTCTCTCTGAATTGTGAGAGGGTCTTCCTATTCTTTTATCAGCACATCTTTGAGCAAGTAGGATTATGAAAACTGAACACCCACATGAAATTGATTCATAATACTTTTTTCTTAAGAACTGTTGCCTGTCTATGTAAAAGACAGGGCCAGTTGTAGTTTTTGCATTCATGAATGGAAGTCTACCAACTAGTACCAAAATAGATACAGAGTTTTTAAGTAAGAGAAATTCTGCAAAATTCTTCTTGATGTTTCTATTTTTAAGTTAATATTTATTCCAGAAATTTGATTGTTCTTTTGTTCATTCTTCAGTGGGAGAAGGTCCACCTAGGAACCCACATTAATAATGTGAAAGACATTTAGGGACTTAGGGAGGAACCAGGGATTGACATAATAGGCTCTTCTAAACTAATATGTGTCTCTTCAATGAAGTTGTGGTCAAGAAGGTAAATGAGATATATTTTAAATTTTATGTTTTCCTCTTCCTTCTTCCCAGCATAGTGAACACTGGTTTAAATGTATACCGAGATAAAAATGCCCTAAGCCATTTTGTCATTGCAGGAGGTAAGACATTTTTGTTCTTCTTTATGTTTTTCAGTCTCAAATATGATTTGGGAAATATGTAAGGATGTATAAGTCATACCTAGTAAATTCTTTGGTTGGCTTATTCAACATTCCTGCCAAAGGTATGGAGACTAGTATGCTTGCTCTTTGGTATGCATGGTGAACAAAACAGAAAAGGTCTTTGCTTTCATGGAGTGTTACAGTCTAATGTGGATGGGAAAAACAGTTTGTTATGATAGAATATACCAAATTGGCAAGGCAGTGGGATCTACTGTGGATCACAGAAGGCCTGTCTGAGAAAGTGACATTTAAGCTTTGACATTTGATGTCTGAAGAATGGGAAGAAGCAAGCCTTGCAAAGAAGAGTAGCCTAGGCAGAGGGAACAGCAAAGGGGAAGGCTCCTAGGCAAGAAAGTTTTTCAAAAATAACATGACTGGAACATAGTGAATTAGAATAAGAGTGGTTTGACATAAAATTGGTTAGGTAAAGTAAAAAGGGGCCAGGTTTTTCATGGTAAAACTTTGGATTTTATTTTAAAGCTCTCTACCTCTGATAGGTAATTAAAATGAACATTAAAAAAAGAAAGTACAGTCATCCCTCGGTATCCATGAGGGGATTGGTTCCCAGACATCACACCTCTCAAGTCTTACTGCCTCCCATGGATACCAAAAATCCACAAATGCTCGAATCCGTTATATAAAATGGCATAGTGTTTGCATATAGGTTACAACAGGGTATGACTGCACATCCCTTCCTTCACATGGATTCAGCATAGTGCTTGGGCTGTGGCAAACTCAAGTCTTGCTTTTGGGAATTTCCTGGGATTATTTTTCCAAATACTTAAAATCTGCAGTTGGTTGAATCTACAACTATGGACCACATGGATATGGAGGGCTTATCGTATTAAAGTGTTATTTTCAGAAATATAGATGAAGTTAATACACTCAAACACTAACTTATGTACATTCTCTTACATATAAAAACTCACATATACTGCATATAACTTTATTTTTTTACTTTTTATTTGGAAATAATTTCAAAGGTATAGAAAGTTGCAAAAATAAAAGTGATACAAGAAATACCATGATCAGTACCTTTTAATACAGAGATGCAGCTATTAACATTTTAGCCCATTAGCTCTATCCCTTGTGCCCTATTTTGGGTGCATTTTCTCTTTTTCTATGTATATGTATACATGCACAAACTCATGTACATAATTTGAACTTAATATTTTAATGAAAAAAATTTTAAATACGAAATTAGAAATAGACATTAATATCATTGGAGCAGCTAGGACTTGCCCTTTTTGAAGTTGTGAATATTACTACATTTACTACATGTTTGGTAAGCTCAAATGCTTACATTCAAACCAAATTCATGTCTTTCTCCACCCAACTTTCGTAGTTGGTCCTGCTGTTCTGTTCTTTGTTGCCTACCCTATTAAATTCCAAAACTGGAAAACAAGTAACGATGTGATTCTTTCCTTTATTTCCCTTTTTCCAAACTCCTAGTCCTATCCTGAAAGAATATTTATATTCTTTAAATATATATGGAGCTCTCTCATCTCCTCTTTATTCTTACTGCTATTATCAGGTTTCCCCCTTTCTATTCTTGGTTCATTCCACCTCTTCCGTTGTCTTTGTTTTGAAATAAGAATATGATTATAATACTTTCCTGCTTGACATCCTTCCATAGTTTTCCATCACGGCAATGTTGATTATTGATCTGGCCCCATGTACCCCTCTTGTTCCAGTGTTATAAATCCACCTGGATTTCCCAAACCCAGTATATTCTTGCTTTATGTGTATTGGTCCCTCTTCTTGAGACCACCTTCACACTCCCACAACTAATTTTCTTCATTTCCTACTTAATGTATCTTTCAAAGTTCACCTTGTCTGTCATCTTCAGCTTCCCGAGAGAGTCCTCCCTAGCTCCAATTTTCCTATCTTAAGGCTTGTTTAGGTGTCTTTCCCCTGTGTTCCCACAATTCTCTATTAATAGTTTTATCAAAGTACTGTATTATAGTCATTTATTTGTTTTGTTTCTCTACTAGATGACTTACTTGAATTCAGAGAAAGTATTTTCCTTTTATATAACAATTTTGTCACATATCGTGGAGTAAATCAAATATCACTTGATTAACTGTAAGTATTAGTAAAATAAGAATGGAAAAATATACCTGATATATATTTTTATTTCAAAACAGCAACCAACATTGAACTTGATATAATACTAAAGTTATATCTTTAAAGTCAGAATCAGGTCATGGATGACTTCCATCACCATTATTATTTGGCATTAATCTGGACATTTATGAAAGTATATTTCACATTGAGAATGTTTGAGTGAGGAGCTTGGCAAATCTTCTCCCCAAAAAGCAACAATAAAGCTGTACAAAATTAATAAAAACAAACATTTAAAGATGTTGGAAATTGAGGGCACACAACAAATTGAGAAGCAATTCAAGAATTTCTAAAAATAGTGGGAGTCAGTAGTGTTTCAGCCTAGGTTTTCTCCCACCTTCTAATCTTCAATCCCATGATGAAGTTCTGCAAGAGGAAGGCAGGCGAGAGGACCAAAAGTTCTGCTGCTTGAGGTAGCAGACATTATTTGAAACAGAGCACAGAAAATTCCATGACTTCAAGTGTTGCCAAAAACAATTGGAAACATGGAAGAACAATATCACACAGCTAATTTGAAGTTTTGATGCTCTTTGGGGCAATAGACTAGCAGATGAGGCAGAATTTTAACAGAGACAAGACAGCTAAACAGAGTTATGATAAGATTCTACTGCCCTGGCTGGTGTAGCTCAGTGGATGGAACACAGACCTGTGAACCAAAGGGTCACTGGTTCGATTCCCAGTCAGGGCACATGTTGGGTTGGGGGCCAGGTCCCCAGTAGGGGACGCGGGAGAAGCAATCACACATTGATGTTTCTCTCTTCTCTTTCTTCCTCCCTTCCCATTGCTCTAAGAATAAATAAATAAAATCTTAAAAAAAAAAAAAAAAAAGATTCTACTAATCCCCAGAACCCTGAAGAGTTCTACACATGTGTAAGAACTCTGAATACTCAGAGACACTGAATACTCAGGAGACACTGGTGGAGCAGGCTACTTATTTTTGGTTAATTGTGAGGCCTTGTGAACACAGAAAATAAAAGCCAGAAAAGACTTATAAATTGTCTAACTTCGAACACATTCTTCAGGCCACAGACAGATCTACTAACAAAAGATGGAAGCCTTACTGGCTTCAGATGTTTATGCATAACTTCTGACAAATCATTGGATGACTGCTAAGCTGGTATGATTCCTAGGAAGCCAGACATAAAAATAAAACCTGAGCGGACATATCAGGTCCGCTAATATTTACTAATATTTACAGTTAATCAAGTGGCTGTACTCTGTAGAAAAAAAAGACTCCATAGAATTGGTCCATGCAAGTCATTCTGTAAATAAAGAACCACAGCTACGCCCATGAGTAGGGAGATATTCCAAACCCAGAGGTGCTATAATTTATTACCTAAAATGTCCAGTTGTCAACAAAAACAAAGTCACAAGACATGCAGAAATAGGATTAAAAAAGGAATCATTGGGGATATGTCTGACAGGAACTATCTATTTGACATAGACAAAAGAATTCAAGCCAATTTTAAAGAATTAAAATACGATGTCAATGATTCATCAAACAGACTCAATAAAGATAGAAATTATTACAGAGTAAAAAGTCTGGGGTTGATAAATACAATAATGGAAATTAAAATTTCGCTGGAGAGGAAGAGTTCGGCAGATTTGAGATAATATAAGAGAATCAGTGAACTTGAAAGTAGATCAATATGGATTGCCTTTTCTAAAGGCCAGCATTTAAAAAGATGAAGAGAAAATAACAGCCTAAGAAATCTATATGAAAACATAAAAAATACCAACATATATGTGATGGAAATACCAGATGGAAAAAAAAGAGGCAGAAACAGTATTAAGAAATTATGACCACAGACTTCCCAAATTTGATAAAAACATTGATCTATATATCCAAGAAGCTCAGCCAACTCCAAGACAAATAATCATGAAGATATTCACATTTAGACACACAATAGTTAAACTGTTGGATGGCAAAGGGAAAAATCTTGAAAATAGGAAGAAAAAAAACCCAACTCATACAAGGAACACCCAATAAGAATAACAGCTGACTCCACATGAGAATGGTGAAGCCAGAGGCAGTAGAATGACAAAGTGCTGAAAAGAATGAGATGTCTGTATCTTGCAGATGTCTGTAAGAATTCTACATCTAGCAAACAATCCTACAAAACTGAAGGCAAAAATGAAGACATCATCAGATAAACAAAGAATTTGTTGATAGCAGACCTCTCTTACATAAATACTAAAGGAAGTTATTCAGGGTGAAAAGAAAGGATACCAGATAATAACTGGGATCTACATGAAGAATTAAAAGCACTGATAAATTATTTAAGTAGTTATTAAAGGCAGCATGAACATTACCTTCTTTAATTTAAAATCAGATACATGAAATAATAAAATTAAGTATTGGTCATATAACATTTAAAGATATATGACATTAAAAATAAAGATACACGGCATTAATAGAACAAAAGAGAAAAGAAGGGAGATTTATCGGAACATGGAAATAGTACCTTCACTGAACAGGAAAGAATGAAAAATATTATAAATAGTAATTATATAGGTTATAAAAGACTTTGTAAATATATTGTTCTCTTTTTCCCCTTAGCTGAAAAAATACATATATGGTTGTTTAAAATGATGATAATAACATTGTCTTGTTTTTAAAGATATATATATAAATATTTTTTAACAAGGGTTTTTTAAAAAAGATTTTTATTTTTAGAGAGAGAAGAAGGAAGGGAGAAAGAGAGGGAGAGGAACATCGATGTGTGAGAGCTACATCGATCAGTTGCCTCCCACATGCCCCCAATTGGGGAACTGGCCCACAATCCAGGCATGTGTGCTGACTGGGAATTAAACCA